TGCTGATATCATTAGGACTCTTATATCTACTTTCATATTTGTACATTATATTCATATGTCTTTTTATAGATGACAAATCGTATGTCATCAATCAAGCCCAGCCCATTTCAGAGAAATGTAATATTAACCTTGGTGCTATTAAGAACGAAGTCCTGACTGGCTTGAAGTGGTTCAAAACTAGATCTTTTACAGTGTATGGGATTAAATATCAGGTGCTAACGTAAACGGAGGATCAATGAAGATTATGTGAAATGTATTATATGTAAATGTGGTAAGAAGTAAATATTTTTATTCATGGCCATATAGAGGAATGGTGATACACACCTAACTTGTGAAAGCGAACATATGCATTTATGTGTGTTTAATTTTACATGTGTTATCCCAATATTTTCATTAAAAAATTATGATTTGTTTATGTTTATTTATATTGGTTTGTTTACTCATTAGAGTCTTGTTATTATAGTGATATATTATTGTGACATGAGCAATAGAGAAAACTTTGCGCAATTAAAATATTTAATTGAATCTGACCTCAATTTGATTACCAATTCTGTATATAGATTTTCATTATTATTATTTAAGGATATTTTTATTTTGAATATTCTATTTGACTAGTAGTTAACAAAATTTGCAGCTAATTTTAAAATTAATTCAAAAACGTACTGCTAACTTGTTTTGTTGAATACGTGAAATAACACTTGTTTAACTGAATTAATACTCGGTCAATCTTATTTCATTACAATATTATCATGAATATTTATTCACACTATTTTTCTAATTAATATTATTGATTAACTAAATATAAATATTGATAAAAAATTTTAGGAGCTCATTGTTTCATATAAAATAACTTTTTATTTACTGTATAGTTAATTTTATCTATAAATTGTGTCTCTGAAAGTTGATTATTTATTCTGAGATAATTACAAAAATGAATACATGAATAATTATTTAACAAAATAAATAAAATCATTATTGAACAAATTAAACATTATTTAAATAACTGAAAATTGTTGATTTAGACATGATTGCATATTTTGTAACGACTACAAAAATAATGAAATA